CTTCACCAGGCTAACAGCAGAAATTTACTAAACCAAAAAGTTTTCATCTCGGCTCCATGGAAAAGAAATCAACAGGGTTTTTTATGTATTGATGAATTGATTTTATTTACTCGCCCCCCCGTAGTGTGTGAGGGGAATCTGCTTTTAGTGAAACAGGCATGCTCTCAGACAGACTGGGAGCCTTGTTAAATCAATGTAGATAGTGTTAATGAGTTCAGAACACATATACAGCAGGATATTTGTATGATTTAAACAGCTGTCTATGCAGATTAAGCTTCATTAAAGTCCAAAAAATAGACTTGAAGTTTGATAAAGTGCAGGGGCCGTCTCAGGAACACAAAATCAGTTTGGACTTGTACATTTAATAAAATGGAAGCATATCTGTTAGATGAGACACTCGAGGGATGGACGTCAAACACACTTCCATAAACGCTTTCAATGGGGATTGGCTGTAAGGTGGTAAGGGTGGAGATGGAGCGGTGGCAACAAATGGCATTGTCATAAGCCACAGATTGTCTAAAAAAAGTGAAGCCAATGTAAAAGTGCCTTAAACCTGCATTCTCTCTAATGGCCAGCAGGGGCGACTCCACTGGTCCACTACTCTGATTGTATAGAAGACAATGAGAAAATGTCCCTACTTGATTTATTACCTCAGTAAACATTTTCCTGATGAGTTCATGGTCTCAATTGCTATTTTCAGCTCTTCCTCCACACAGCGTGATGTTTATTTTGTCAATTAAGGTCCAATTTAGAGTAAAATAGATGACAAAGTACGGTATGCATTAGGGCGTGGCTACCCTGTGACCACTGTGACCTGTCAATCAGCTCCACCCTCTTTGTCACCCTTTTTGTCTGTGGAGGTCTGGATAAAGTAAGGACAATAAAACTAAGGATAAGTAATGTGACTGACGCCAGCGCCACACTAAGGCAGTTGCAACTTCAGTGTTTTAACTGAAATGGACCGACGCCTGCGAGCTATTTCAGGCAATCAGCTCGAGCTGCAGTGATTCATACACACACATCATACGTCACTCCCCATATGTCATCTACAAAACACACCCTCCCAATTTGGCAGTCTATTTAAGCTGCAAAATCTCCCCAGCTCTCCCTTTGCCTTGTTAATATTGCTGCTGCCCTGCATCAGGACTGCTGCTCACTCCCCAATATCTAAACATATCTGCGGGGAACGATAAGGCCGGAGACTAGAAGCCAAACTCTAACAATGTTTTGTTGTTGTATAGACATTTAAAACTAATGCTATACTCTTCTTATTTCTGACAGCAGGATGGTGTGGGTTTGATTGACTTGAAGAAACATGTCACCAGTGTGGCTTAGGGATGTGTTGGTATTCATCTTGGGACAATGCAAGTCTGTGGTACAAAGGAACACTTTTTAGTAGGATCAATTAATTGTGGATTAATTTTCACAGGGATGGAAGGCAATGAGGAAACTGTTGCCAGGCGTATCTTTTAATTGCAACAACACAGAAGCAAGCGTAGCAGCTTGGTGTTTAAGGGGGAAAACACACCCTGAGTTTCTGGAACTGGCAAAGTTTCTTAAGCTGGCAGACATCAGTGGGTTCCCATCTATCACAAGAGGTTGCTGAGCAATTGTCAAGACAGGCAGGGATTACCCTGCAGAAAGCCAAAATCATATTTTACTCCAAAGAGGATGAATCCACAGCTCTGGCTTTTTAACCTTTATACCACCCGACATTCTACCACAGGGTGCTCGTACAATGTAAAACCTCCACAGACAGCTACTACTATGAAAAGTAACATGAATCTTTCAGTGGTCATTTGGAAAATAATCCACGTACAATGCATGGTATGAGAATATGATGTCTCCATATTTGGGTGGGTGTTAAACTTTGGCAGGTGGCCACGATATCAGGCAGATAATAAACTCTTAGATGTGCCGTTATGGAAAAATGATGTGCTTCAAGCCCCCCTGATGCAAAATGGAGCTTACTGCATCTCCTTCTCTCTCTTTGTGTCTGTGTGTGTGTGTTTGCCAGCACCGCTCACAGCCTTCCTTTTCATTATATCAGAGCTCATTCTACTTTACATATATTGGCATTCGGATAAACTGTTTTGTCAACTGTGAGCTCTTAACCTCAAATTACTTGCATCACCGTGTGCCCTGCCAACCTCAATACCCTGTTGTCACCCCTATGATTGTCACTCTCCCACACACACACACATGCACGCGTGCGCGCCGCTTTTTCTCTTTTCATCCCGCCATTGTGAATCGGTTAGCTCTCCCTCATTTTCCACCTCCTCCCAGTTTCCTCCTTTAAAAGTCAAATCTTCGATCAGTCTCCCTCGCTCTCTCTCGTCTGCTCTCATGAAAGTCAAATTAAGAAATTGGTGACCTCTTTCCTGCTCCTCTGCCCTTACTCTATCAGTTTTCCATGCTTTTGATGTTGGAATCGAAACAGTGAATGACATTTACTGTAAAGATAGATTTGTAATATGGCTGCTTAATTTTATAATTGCAGTTAATTTAGTCAATTTTGAGATTATTTATAATTATTTGAGATTATTTAACACCAGGGCTGCACCTGACTTCGAATTATGTCAGTTGAATCCAATTTCGTTGTTAGCCCACCTAGCTAATACATGCTAACTAGTTTGTTGATAGCAACAATATTTTTTGCCAACATTAGATATCCAACAAAAGCCAGAGTCTGTATTATATTAAGTTGCTGTGAGCTGTAAATTCACCCCTTCTAGGTAGAAGGCAGAAGATAACGTTACCCCAGAGCCTCACTGGGCCAAGCCTGTCTTCCTCCGAACAGCGTCAGAGTGAGGAGCACTCACTCTGCAGCTCCATCTGGGGACCGAAATACCCCCAGAAATACACAACACACTCACTGACAGCAAAATGACTCATTCATAAAAAAACAACTGCTCAACTCCCAAGTCAACCGAGGGGTCTCTGACTGATTATGGGCATCTTCGGCTTTCAGGGGACGGTCCTATTTACCCCTGTTACTCATTGAATTTGGAAACATGCATTTATTGAACTTTTTAAAAAAAACTCTGAGTGAGCTAACCATGCCGAAGCCTGGTTGAGACAGTGAGTTTGGGCTTTTGGGAGGGAGTAAAGCCGCATGCTGTAACACTTCAGTAATCAGTTGATTTTGTTGTATTTTCCGTCTTTGTTGGCACAGATTTGTGACAGATTCCCATCTAGCCATCTAACAAAACAAAAGCTAATTAAAAGTCTAGTGTGTAGGGTTTAGTGGCATAGTGGTGATGTTGCAGATTGCAGCTAACTAAAACTTATCCCATGTGCAAAGCGTGTAGGTGAACTATGTTGACTGACTTGAAAACACGAATGGCTCCATCTATAGAAAACACAGCAGTTCTAATTTTTGGGTGGTTATAAACTAGGCCTGTATCTGACACAGAATTATTGCAGTCGAATCAGATTCAGCAGTTTAAAACAAATATTTGATTTTTATTTTCTTTGTTTATTTTTTTAAAAAATGTATTTATTTATTTTTGAGCTGTACCTACAGTGTAGGCTCTGAGTCGACGTTGGGGACTATGCCTAGCCTGACGCACACCTCCCTAGAAATGTAACTACACGTCACAGCGACGCAGACCTCCTGTCTATTTTTGTAAGCTGAAACCATTTCACTCAGTGGAAACAAAGCTTTTATTTACTTTAATTTCACAGATAAGAAACAATAAATTGTCAAGACAATAAAGCCTCCACAAAAATAGCATTTTAAGGCCTGTGTGTGATTTATCCTGGCTTCTTATGAGCGGAGGAAATCTCTGCTAGTCGCTAGGCTAATTTATACAGTGTAAAATGCCATAGGCTTGTGCTAATAACGTTAGCATGAAATATTTGTTTGGAAAACATGTTTAATATAAGACAATTGTTTTGTCAGTGAACCTTATGAGTTGTAATGGAACCGAACTTTGTGACATTACCTTTGTTAAATATTGCTGTTGTCCTTGGCTTCATATAAGTAGAGGAAAAGTCCGCTAGCCGCTAGGCTAATTTATACAATGTAAAATGCCACAGGCTTGTGCTAAAAACATTAGCATGTTGTATTTGTGGGGAAAATGTGTCCAGTTAAAGACCAATGTTTTGTCTGTGAATGCTGCGAGTTATAGTAAAGCTGATTTGTGTACTTGTGTTTAATGTGTGTTTTAAATCAACTAAACTTTACAGCACTTCACCAAAACCCTGCAGCCAACTAGTGTTTTGGAGGTGTAACTGTAGAATGATGCAGACACACCACCGCACAAGTATAAATGCTCACAATGGCGTAGGCTCTGCATAGAGCTGATGCACAAGTATAAATCCCACTTGAGTGGTCTCGAACTGACGATTCACATCTCCGACTTTCAAGGAACAGCCCTATTTTAAACTAATGAAAACATAGTTAGAAATATTATATTTCATATCTGCCTGTATATCCCCATAAACTCTACACACTGGACCTTTAAAACAACTGAGCTGTCCTCCGTAAGAACTTCCACCTGACCAATTAGTGTTCTTTTTTTACCCCTATCTAAAGTTCATTAGTAATTTTCACATCTTTCTTAAGTACGCACATCTGAACACAAGTGTTCCTTTTAACTTGTCAAGAGGAGGAGCAAAGTGGACCATCGGTGAAGAAGTTTTCAGTCTATTTTCAGAGTGAACAGTTGAAAGAGTCTGGACAGCCAAGACCCGAGTGCAGCTAATTACTGAGCAAAAATGGGCTCTTTAGTTAGTTACATAAGGGAACTGTTAGTAAGAGGGACAAATAGAGTGAGTTAGTAAAATTAAACCTTGGTGAGATTTGAAGATGGATTCATCCTGTGCGCTCTGATAATCCATCAAATAAAAAACTGTCTGACGCCGGTCAAAAATGTTAAAAGGAACACAAAATTCAGCTTAGGAGGTTGTCTGAGCTGACCAGAATAGTAACACAAATGTCTCTGTGTGTGTGTGTGTGTGTGTGTGTGTGTGTGTGTGTGTGTGTGTGTGCGTAGACCTCCTCTGCAACCGTGAACATTGTGGTGACAGACGTTAATGACAACGACCCGCTGTTCGATTCTTCACTGCCGGTGAACCTCACTGTCATCGAGGAGCGGGATCACGCCTATGTTGGACAGGTCAAGGTAGGAAGATACACATGTACACACACACACACACACACACACACACACTCTAAACAATGCACAGAGAAACAGCAAACACACACACGCTCCCTTCTTTGCTACTCCGACACATAGCTACTCTCTCAAATACATTTTGATGTATATGATATAATATATTTGCACATGTTCACATAAGAGCATGTGTTTGTATGTGTTCATTATGCACACATTCATGGCTGTGTGTTTGTTTGTGTGCTTTCCTCGCACTAATCCTTTGTTATAATGATGGGCCATGAACAAAAAAAGCCAATTTAGATAACAGTTTATCTCATTGTATCAATAATTCCAGGCTGCACATCTTACAATTAAAAAAGACAGAGCATGTAGAATGAGATTACACTTGTCTCATTTATTTCTCTTGCAGTTTATATTGAAACCGGTTGCTCCCCTCTGTTTGTGACCGTGGCACAGATCAGCATGTCTCACTGTGAGCGATCCTGACACACAGACCTTAGCAGACAGACATAATTACTTTAAGTGTAGAGGTGCCTTTAAGACTCATCTAAATGTCTGCGTCCTCGCCTTCGCAGTCTCTCACTGCACATACAGACAGACACGCAGCAACACAAAAATTCACAGAGGCTCTAATTAAATTCTGCTCTTATAATCTGTTACACTGGGGACCAGAGATCACTAACATAACTCTGTAAACCTTGGTAGCTTTGTAATTAGCGCTGTGTGTTATTATACTCAGAGGACTGCGTGTGCATGCGTGTGTGCGCATATTTCTGGGTGGACAGGATTTGAGAGAATGGTGTGTGAGGACAGAGTCTATTTGGGTTGGATGCTTTCCCCATATTTTAAATGTTACTGTCTGGCAATGCTCTCATTCCCTGGAACACTGAAGTTTTTCATCATAAACAAAGTTTGATTTTAAACATAGAACTGCGGATTATTCATCAAAAAAGAGTGTTTTTCTAATTTTTCTTAACTTTACTTTTTAAAGGGCCAGTGTGTAAAATGGGTTGAAAACAGTGACATCAGTGGTCAAATTCTAGATTGCAGGGCTCACTCGCCCATCCCTCCCGTCGGGTAAATGACAGTGGCCTCGTAGGGACAAAAAGCCTTGCGCACGAGTTTTTCAGGAGTAGGTCTATCTAGCGACGAGGTGAATGTTTATTTAGAAATCTAAGACGTTACGATATTGTAATGAATCCCTTACGAGCAGGAGACCAGAGTAGCGTTCGGGAAAAAGGCCCGTTTATTTGAGCACTCCAGAAACTCCGGTAACACTCCAGGGGGTAAAAGACTCCGTCCCAAACTCTGACTCTTCTAGCGTAACACACACACTCCATACACACATACTCGTTTACCATACCGAGTGGAGACCACCTCCCCTCTCTGCTCAATCTCCAGCCCGCACACTGACTGACAGCGTAGCCTGTAAACAGAGCTCAGCTGTTTATTTAGCCTAGCAATATCTCCGGACTATAGTAGCTGCAATGGACGACTTTGAACGCGATTTTGAAGAGTTTCTTGTAGCGGACACAGACCCAGAGCCATACCTGTTTGAGCCGGAGCATACAGATGAGGAACTCCATGTGTTTGATGCTGAGCGGGCGAGAAGAGAGGCTGAATGCACAGAATGGGATTCGGTGCTACCATCGTTGGAGAGATATATCATCAGGAGGAAAAGCGCCGCAGAGAGTGCATCACAAGGAGTGAAGTTGCGTCTTCTTTTCCTCGCAGATGACGGTTCGGGTTCATTCTCTCCTGTTGCGTGGTAAGTGTGGTCCATTCGCAAACTTTATAACTAAATAAACTTTTCACTACTCTCTATCTACGAACTACTAACACTCTCTGCTATTTCCTCCTCCTTCTTCCTTCCTTCTGCTGTCTTCGTTGGTTTATTTATACACGCGAAACGTGTTCTCTGGCTGGCTGGATTGTCTGCTCGGTCTGCCGTACATACATGGCGGCGCAAGATGGCGACCTCTCTAAAGCAAGGCCCTTGCGATATATATATATCTAAAAGCATAATTATAAGGCTACAAAAACTAAAGGAATTTTATTTTATAGTGATCATACACTTGTATAAACATATTAATGGGTAGAATATTCAGATTCAGATTCAGATTGACAATAAACCATGCCAAATATTACACAGTGGCCCTTTAAATTCCCAAGATTATGTACTTTTTTAGTAGAGCAATGATTCCTCCTAATGGTGAAACAACATGTCAGTAATGACCAAATCATTAGATCCTTCGCTTTTTCATTTCAATCAGGAGACACAGAAGAATGAAGTAAATATAATATTTAACACAGAATATGAGTGTACAGATTAAGAGATGATTTGTGCTGATTAAGATTTAACAGAAGAATTGGTGCTTGGACACCAGAGGGAGATATTTTGTGTTTTAGGGACATCTGAGCAGCAGCAGGATAAATCCCCCCATGGAGTCCACATGCTGCTGTAGGTGGTGGTGGCTGATGACTCTGAGGCTGCTGACTGATGAGGTGTTTACTGCATGTATATAACACAGACTGCAGGTATGATTCAACCTACACTGGACCTGTTCATACGAGTCAGCTGTGACTCTGTTTGCCGCTGTTAGTAGAGACTCCAGTCTGCAGTGCAGTTCAAATACTTCACTGATAAACCAGATTATTGTACAGTAACACTGGACCTCCTGATCAAATAATGTTTTTGTATGACATTGCACATCTCTCTTGCAGCTGGGTTGTACAGTATGTTAAAACATTTATTCATTTCCTTAACCACTTATCCTGTTAGGGGTTGCGGGGGGGCTGGAGCCTATTCCAGCTGGCATTGGCCGAGAGGCAGGGTACACCCTGGACAGGTCTCCAGACTATCACAGGGCTGACACATAGAGACAGTCAACCATCCACACTCACATTCACACCTACGGATAATTTAGAGTCACCAATTAACCTGCATGTCTTTGGACTGTGGGAGGAAGCCGGAGTACCCAGAGAAAACCCATGCTGACACGGGGAGAACATGCAAACTCCACACAGAAGGGCTTCCCTGGGGTTCCAACCCCCCACTCCAAGTGTGAACCAGGAACCCTCTTGCTGTGAAGCAAAAATGCTAACCACTGCATCCCCATGCAGTTAGCAATATTAGCAGTTAGCATTATTGAATTAAAAAGAAAAGCTACAACCCTCCAAATTTTAGAACAACCTTCAGTTGCCAGATATATTTAATAATCGAGAGCTATAACCAAATCACACATCCTGTTATACAAATTACCCACAAGTGTCAGCTTACAGATGTAATAGCAGTTACTTTATATTTACGGTATGTAGCTAACTGGATTGAACTCTCTCCAGGGGTCTATCTGAATTCAGTGGGACACTGAAAGAAAAAAAAAACCCTCTATAACACCTCAATATTTTTATGCTTCAATGGAGTCTGCATCACCAGGAATCTAATAATGCACCAATATTATGATAATAACCATAAAAAAGCATTGTTTCCCTTCCCACTACAAATACAAGTGTATTACACACACAGCCTGTACCCAGTAGTAACAGGAAACACTTTTAACACAAAGTTTAAACTTTTCTTTATTAGTTTATGAGGGTTTTTTTTTTTTTTGGTTTACAATACCTGGTTTTAGGTATGTCCTGCATTCATGCTATTTGCAAAAATAATAAAAGCAATAAATACATTGAAAATGAAATGACAGTTTTCCTGCTGTAGAAATGCCAGTAGCAACTATTGGATCAAATTCATGGTTTGTTAGTGAATCAGGCCTTTCCCTAGATGGTGTGGGTTTTTACTAGGTTTTCTGTTATGTTATGATTTGATTAGCTAGACTTCTTTGTGATGTGGCAACAGCTATTAACTAACATTAGGGACATTAATAGTCTCCACCACTTAAGCACTGCTACTGATAAAATATCCTTGGGAAAACGCTAAAGTCTGCAATAAATATACTATAGAGTTAAAAAAAATAAATAATAAAAAATGATCTCATGTATGAGTATCATGATCTCTCCTCAGCGCTGTGGGATGCATTTTCACCTGCATCAGCACCCTTGTCTCCACTTACCAAAAAGGGTCTGGACTCGCTCCAGACCTAATAACTGACTCATGTATTCCCCAGACAGGGGTCATGGGTATTCTGACACTTTGATAGGCTCTGATCTTTAAAGATGCTCCCTCGGTTGCACGCTTGCTTGGATTTGCTCCAAGCTTAATTCATAGCCTTTATACACCAGTGTCAGGGGGTCTTTGATCAGTCTGACACTTTGCCAGGTTCTAAATGTTAATCACGCTTCCTTGGTTGAATGCTAGGACTACTCCTGAGATAAATATGTGGCCCTTATAGACCAATGTCTGGGATAAAATCTCAGTTAAAAAATCTATATCTTTTCCTGTTTGGACAATTGGGCACTATACCAAACTCTTAAACCCAACCTTATCCTTAAAGAGGACATTTCATTCCTAGGATCCCAAATTTCAACTTTCGCTCAGACCTTTGGGCGCGTTCCAAATTCAACATCCAAATACCCATCCCAATCTTTAGAGAGGGCACTTGAAAGTATTCCAATCCTGAACTTCCTCCCTTTCAAGGACCCTTGGATAATTTCCAAACCAAAACAGACGGTGTGATCCCTCAGCGGGCAGTGCAAGGCACGACTCTGGGCCTCATTCCAAACCAGGGTCCCTACTTGTAGGTATTAAACAGATTTCCGGAAGAATGAATGGACCTGACCTTGGTTTGCTGATGCTGGTAAGGTAGAGCGAGATGGGAAGAGGAAAGGAAGTGAGACATGCATGGGTGGCAGAAAGAGATGGAAGAGAGACACTGGGGAGGGGTGATAAGTGTGAGGGAGAAAAGAGGGGTGACGACGGAGCTAAGGGATTGCAGCTGCATTCTTAATCTGACTTTCATGAGTTTAAGACATGGTTTCTATTTAAAGAGGTGAAAAATGCATTAGAAACAGGAAAGACTGGCTGAATCCAGAGAGGTCATATGACCGTCAAA